GACGAAAATACAACATTTTTTAACCCTATCCGTATGCCCTGGGGTAATTTTGTACCCCCGGGGTTGTATTCTTCACATTTCACAATACTTCTAGTGCGAAGATCTCTTTGAAACTTGCGGTATTTCTCGAAAAATCATTTTGACAGACTTATGCAAAGCGTACGGGTCGGATTAACGAGTACATTTTTTCTTTGGAAAGTGGTGGCATAGAGTTCCCCACGTCGTATGGATACGATAGTAAAACACGACGTACGAATAGGGTTAAGTGGTGGCACAGAGTTCCCCATTTCGTATGGATATGATAGTAAAACACGACGTACGGGAGTCCCGAGATCTCTCCCAGACAGACAGTCCAACAGTAATAGTAATAGTAATAATAATAATAATAATAATAATAGACAGCACCTATATAGCGCTCTATCCCATACTAGTATAAGCTCTGAGCACTTTCCACCAATCACATAATCATTTACACAAGAAACAAATATTTCACAGAAACAAGAAAAACCAGTTCAACCACATAAAGAAGAACAACAACAATACATTAACTATACATTATACACGAAAGGACAGTGTTTCAAAAAGAAAAAAAATACTCACCATCTTGCTGACGGGGCGTGCGTCCACCAGCTGCTGGTGTCTCTCTGTGTCCTGGAACTCCGTGCCCGACAAGCCCGGGGGAGCCTCACAGTACAGCAGCTTGCCCTGAGATTGTCACAGAAATAAGATAAGAGATGTGTGCGTGGAATGTGTGCGTTAGTGTGTGTGTATGTGTCTGTGTGTATATGTGTCCGTGTTAGTGTGTTTGTGTATGTGTGTGTGTTAGTGTGTGTGTGTATGTGTGTGTCGCATGCGTGAATATTGTTCGTACGTGCATTTATGTAAAGCGCCTAGAGCTGTGTTTACACGGGAGCGGGCGCTATAGAAATGATTTTCATTATTATTATTATTATTAAAATCCATATTTTTAGTTTTGTTTTAGTAGAGGTTTTATGGCGGTCGCAACTGCATAAGGTCATATGAGCGCCAGAAGATTAGACATGTTACAAGGGAGTAACAAACATAAAATAGACAGAGGGGAGATAAAGACGACAGATGTTTGATTGGAAAGAAGGAGCAAACCGCACCAGAGCACCCGCCAATCACCCACTAGTAGGTTTCATGGCGCTTGCAACTGCAAAAGGTCATATGAGCGCCAAGGGGTGGATGTCAACAGAGAAGTCCTTGCAAGGAATCAGGCTTACTCTGCTCACCTCTCTAGCTTTAACAGCACAAGGTCTGCTTCGACTATCAAGGCACCCCGGAAATAGCGGGTCACAAGAGTGACAAACATAAGTAGAGGAAAAATGACGATAGTATTAGGAAAGAAAAAGCAGCAGTTCCCTGTTGCAGGTCAGGCACAGTTATGAGCATGACATGGATGAATCAGCCCATTTACATTTACAATTCTACTGTGCATAATAACTCGAGATGTCGATGTCCCCCCCTTTTGGGAATGGCCTAGACACTTCAGACAGTGGCACCGCCCGGGGGGGGGGGTGAGTTATCAGGTCTGCTGGGGCAATGATTGTAAAGCCCATAGAGCTTGCTGTTGAGCAGGAATTTCCGCTACACATATCGTCACCCTAAAAGGACAAATTTCTATCTGCTCAGTACCTAGTTTTGAGAAATCTGACGCAAGTTTCACAGCATGTTTCAAATGCAATTCTTTGAACATCTTGATAACGACTCCAAATAACCTAACAGTTCTGACAGGGCAAAATAGAACATTTGGTCTCTGCTGACCTCAGTTTCAGGAATTCAAAACGTCCAAAAAAAGTCAGATAGAATTTTGTCATTCAAGGGTAGTGAGATGCTATTTATTATTATTTTTCATTATTATTGTTGTTATTATTTTAAAAAAATTATTATTGTT